CACACACACACACACACACACACACACACACACACCCCTACCTGCTTGCTCAGATACAGGCACTCACTCTCTTACAATTTTCTTGCCATCACTTCAGCCACATCCACATTCCCCAAATGGATTTGGACCCACCATGGGAGGGTGAAATGGTGAAGTACTAGAGCAGAAACCTGGTAGCTTACCCTACTCTTGGACTTCATGTGAGGGGCTAAACTCCTTTCCTTCTGATACCCACTTAAAGCCCTCCCTTCTCCATGCAATCAGGGACACACAGGCAGACTTCTGAGAAGTCCAGAGGTGTTGGGTATATAGAGGGGTCCTATAGGCCTTCAGATTGCTTTACCAACAGGCTCCTAAGGGTCCCCTCTCCAAGCTACACTGTGTTTGATGGTCCAGTTGATAGGTAACAACATCCAGATCTGGACTCAGTGACAGATCCGTTCTGTCATCTCCCTCTGTAGAGACACAAAGTAAAGAAGGATTAGTTTGAGCCCAGCCCGCCGGGCAACTCCTTGCCAAATTAGGAAGTTTATTGAGCCTGACTCTTCTCCCACTACAGCTGCAAACCATGGCAGCAGATCTGGGTTTGTAAATTGACATCTCCATGAATTCTCTATGAGAGTTCAGAATCCACTAATAAATGAGTTGTCACCCATCATTCATCCACCTGGGTATGGGAGTTTCATACGGATCCTTTGTATCTGAACTTTCTGGGAAGAGCCTTGGCAGTGATGGGTAAGAGAGACTTGGCCTTACCAGTGGCTCGAGTTCCCTCTGGTCCACCAAGCTGAACTCTTGGATGAAGTAGTAAAAGTGCTTATAGCAGGTGTTGACGTGTGCCTCTGCCCCCATGCTGAGGATGCTATCGAAGTGGTGGATGTAGACATGGACAAAGACTCGGAAGAGTCGGGTCAGGATCTTAGTGCAGACCTGCTGAAAGTTCTTGGGGAAGGGAACTCCTGGGGGTGGAGAGGGGTAGAAGAAGGGTCAAAATCCTAGGGCTAAAACTCCACCCCTCCCCCACAGGCACTCTTCTCCTCAGCACAGGACCCATAGAGGAAGGCAGAGCAAGGCCTTGGTTTTCTCCTATGTTTTTCTTTTTGGGGGGTAGGTAGTGCTGGGATTGAACCCAGGAATTCATTCACATCATTGAGCTCCAACCCCAGTCCCCATCTTTCCTTTTTACTGAAGCACAAATCTGAAAGTACCTTCACCGTGCTGTAACACAGATCATCTTCCACATTTCCCACTGCTTGAAGCAGGGCTTTTCAAGCTTGTCACTGGCCAGTCTGTCGCAGACCACAATAAAAATTGTGGCCTAACCTCTCCCCAGAAACCTGTGCACCCACAGAGATATGCACATCTCTTTCTCCAATACAGTTTAATGTGGAGGTTGTGGGCCTTCAGGTTTAAGTCTTAATATCTCAGCATGGCATGGAGCAAAGCCTTTATGAGCCAATCCTGATTGCCCTCTCCAGACACACTCCCAGTTCCTCTGCTTACTGTTCTCACAGCTAGCTCATACCCCCTCCCCATGCTAACACTTCAAGAACTACTTCTGATATCACTCATTCCTTCAGATATGCAATAACACAAAGAACTTTCCTTCTGTGAGCCCAGCCCCGAGCTGGGCCCTTTGTACCTCTGTCCTCTGTTCTTTACAATTGTGCTGATGGGTCTGATAGTCATTCTAGATATGATAAAAAGCAGGCGATGTGTAAAGGTGAAGCCACTTGCCTGAGGACACATAATTATTAATTTGTATAGGCTGGAGGCAGGACACAGCCCTCTTTGCACAGCAGTACCTCTCAGAGATAAATGACACAGATCCTGCCTGACCAGAAAAGGTCAGGAGAACCATGGGAAAGGTAGTGTGTGCACATACCCCAATCCAGGGCAGAGATCCTCTTACGCCCTCTTTTCTGCTATGACAAAGTCATCCAGTCATCCAGTTAAAAGTTTACCCAGGGCTCACAAACTCAGGGATGTAGGCTAGAGGAGAATGAAAGCCAGGAATAGATTTAGTCCTAGTCCATACACCTCCACCGACCCCCTTCCTTCTCACTGCTCTTTGGAGCCTGTGCTCTGCCTCTCTGAGAGCCCAGCCTTGTCCCTACAACTTGTATCCAACCCATCTAGACCTGGACCCCACAACACCTGAGTTCTGGTTCTGAACCCTTTTCTATTCAGTGTGCTTTCCCGCTGTTGGCCTCAGTTTCCTTCTGTGTAAAATGAAGGGACCTGTTGTACACAATAGTGCAGGAAATGGAAGCAACAGTTAGGGAGGAGCCATGGGCTTCAATTGTGACTCAGTGCCCAGCTTTCCTCAGCATTCAGACTTCTTCCTTCTGGGCTTGACCATCTGCCCCACCCATTTGAATCCCTACAGCCAGATGGGTGCTGGGACCCAGGCTGCAGGTGGGGCTGCTGTGATGAACACAGCGTCTCCTGGGTGGAACCTGGGCCAGGGTGGCATCATTCTTTTCCCTTCCCCACAATCCCCACCCAGGCCCAGCTGAGATAAGAAAAGGCCCCATGGCCTGGACCTTACTATGGAGTACCAGCCTGAGGAAAAGGTACCTTTTGGGCTTCCAATCCTTCCCTTTCTGGGGCTAGGATTCAGAGGGGACTCTCAGGAAGCTGGAAGCCAGATCAGCCCAAGCACAACAGTGTGTTACTTGTTCTGGAACGTGGAGAAACAGTGCTTGTGGTTTTGTTGGGAGAGTCCCTAGTGGGATCTCTGCACACACCGCCTTTCCCATGGTTCTCCTGACCTTTCCTGGCCAGGCAGGATCTGTATCATTTATCTCTGAGAGGTACTACTATAGAAAGAGGGTTTGAGTCCTGCCTCCATGAGGACACGAGGAGGAGCTCCAAATGGAAGTCAGCTTGTCCTTGGTAAATGTTTGATTGGAACCAAGAAGCTGCTTCAATCAGTTTCCTCTTCTGCAGTATGGGAAAGACCCTCCCTGGCTAGGCTAACTCTCCAGCTAGCCAGTGCTCACCAACACGTGTAGGAAAGACATCCTCATCATTGATGAGACCCTCGATCCAGTCCATGAGCAGTGCCATATAGCGGGGTGCCGAGAGCTTGGCAGGCCTTCGGTACTGGCGCTCATCCTGCCAGCGGTACTCATAGCGTGGCCCGCCAGCCATGACTGGGCAGCTGGCCTCACTGCAGTGCTCAGCCATGGTGCCATAGATGAGGTTGATGCGGTTGAAGAAGTCCACCACATGCACAGCGATCCAGTCATCGATGCTCTCACCAGGTGGCAGCCTCACTACACTTCGAAGGTCCAGGCCAGATTTGAGTGAGGCTTGTGCTTTCTTATATAGCTCAAAGCGCTGTGTACCAGGCTCAAAGCGCTTCCGGGGCCGGAAAGTCTTGTCCTTAGCAAACACCTGCTTCAGACACAGTGCCATGGCCAGGCTTAGTAGAGCTGGATGTCTAGGTCCAGGGACCTGAAGATGCCCTGCCAGAGACAAGGGCAAGGGAAGTACGTGGTCAGGGCCTTATAAAATGGTCTTTGATTTCCCAATACATCATTTTCCTACTAGCTGCCAGCCTTGAGGCACTCATCCCCTAACAGTGTCTAATCCTCTGTGGACTACTTTAGCCTGTCTCTCCTGACCCCTTAGCAGCCCCACATGTCTTTCCTTACATTTAGTTTCCTCCCTGCTTTCTTTGAACCTTGCAGGTGAAGCCTGGCTCCAAACAAGTACTTACAGGACTTAACAGAAGTGACAGAGGCTTTTTGAAGGCCCACCAGGGAACAGGGACTCCAGATAAGATGTTCTCTGGAAGCCCCATAGGTCAGCTGTGTAGTGTGAGAGAGGCTGGCTGCATTGTGCTAGGGGTGACATGGTGGGCCCTGGACTTCAATTTCCTCTGGGATATCCCTAAGTCCATCCGGCCGTGGGGGATTCCCAGGGAGCAGAAGGGACTTTTCTGCCAAAAATGTCCTTTCCTTTTTCTTTACACTGAAAGAGGAAAGGGCCCTCACATAGCCATCTGGGTGGCCTGAAGTGTGGCTGCAGGCATTACAGGAAGGGGAGGGTGGCAGGTCTAGAAGAGTGCTACTTCCTCCGACAAATGCTAATGCTCCTTTCCTCTAAGCCAACCTCCTTCAGCCCCAAACCTGAATAAGCCACTGAATACACCTGGCACTCCACATGATTGCCAGCATGCCTACTATGCACCTGTTACCCTGGGGCAGGGGGAGCAGCCAGATCCATCCTGCTGGTCCTTCTGGATGTTTGCTTTGCCTCTTAGAACAGAAGGCTGCCAGACTCAGAACAGACTTCAGGGGGCATCAATCAGAGCCCCCAAAGTCCTGGGATCCAGCCCCTGATTCAAAACTGGCTTGCTTACATCACCACGGATTTAGTCCTTGTAAATCTTTGAACACTCTGATTTAGTCAGGTTTCTGAGCATCTTCGGCATTTCATCTCTCCCACCAATGTATATGACTACTGGGGAATACAGATCCAGGCTACTGCCAAGACTGGAATAAACGGAGCACAGACCCTGACCGCTAGGCTGTATAAGCTAAGCACTGAGCTCGGGCTCCATGCTGACTCTGACTTGTTCTCAACCTTGGTTTGTCTAAACCCCGAGTCTAGCTCCACACTGAATGAGGCCTGAGACAGTGGCAGACAAAGCTTATCCTTCACCTCAGACTGGCTTGACTTTGAAGCAATTTCCTTTCTCACATTTTTGTTAACTGCTGTGGCAGGACCAGGATAGAGAGGGTGGGGGTTAGGTTGGTTAGGTAACCAAAGGCATAGAGTACAGAGAGATGTTACTTCTGGCAACAAATCAAACTTACAGAAATGTTTGGAACAGTTTTTCCTTCTCATCACAGCAGGCAAGCAGAATGGATCAATCAGGAAAAAGGAGAGTAGTTTAGAGGGCAGAGAGAGTTCCTGACCACTTGAGAGAAGCTTGAACGTATGGAAGTTTCTCTCATTTATTCTGCCCACCCCCCAGCTTCTTCTCAAAGAAATGCCAGGCTGGGGCCTGAACTTCCTGAATGAAGAGCTCTGTATACTTCAGTTGCTGTCTCCCTTGTAAGCTCTGCCTGGGGCAGGATTTCCAAAACCACTCATGCAATCAGTGGGGTTTCTGGGTCCTCCACCTTGATATGGCCAACCATTACTGACTGTTATAGACTCTTACTTTTCAACTCCACACCCTAACTTCCCCACTCCACCTCCCACCAGCAGCCACCCTGGGCTTCTCCTTGATCCCTGAGCATGCCCTTACTCTCTCCTGCATGTGTGTCTTTTGCTGCTAGATTCCTGATTTCTCATTCCATCCTACTGAATGCTACCTCCTTCAGCACCCTCCTCCAGATCTCAACCTTGTATGGTGACCACTCTGCCATTTCTGTCCCTAAGCCCTCTAGATAAAGTCAGACTGGCATAACATTGGTGGCCGGGCTTTAGGGAAAGCTTAGACTCAAGAGTCTTAGAGTTGGCTGGGGAGATGGTTCAGTGGGTAAAGAGCTTGTAGTGCAAGCATGAGGACCAGTTTTGATCTCCAGAACCTATGAAAAACCTGACAAGACCTGGCAGCCTTCTGTAACCCTAGAACTTAGGAGGTAGAGGCAGGGAACCCCTGCAAGCCCCAGGTTCAGAAACACCTTGCCTTGGGCTGGTGAGATGTCTCAATGGGTAAACTTACTGGCCTGAGGGACCCTCATGGTAGAAGGAGAGAACTCCCACCAACTGTCTCTAACTATAACATGTACATTGTGGTACATACGTGTGTGTGTGTGTGTGTGTGTGTGTGTGTGCGTACACATAAATAAATGTAATTATTTTTTAAAAATAGACCTTGCCTCAATAAATGAAGTGGAGAGTGAGTAAGATAACTGATGTCAGCCTCCATACCTGCATGCCCACCTTCACTTACCCACAATACCAGACATATAGGAATACAAGTCTTCAAGTTGAAACAGCTCTGAAAAATCAAGTGGCCTAACCTACATGAGCAGATGGGGAAACTGAAGCCCAGAATCAGGATTTGAGGAGCCCAACTTTGCATAGAAAGTTATAAGAAGTAGGTGGTTGGGATAGAGAGGGACTTAGCCTCTAATAAGGTACAAAGGACCCTTTTCCTGCTGTCTGGCCACTGGCCTGGTGTAGATAAGAGGAGAGGAAGGGAGTAGAGAGGCCCCACCTCCTTGCTGTAGAACTTAAGGCCCAGGACTTTTCCTAGAAAGAGTAAACTTGGAGTACAGGAGGTAAGCTAAGAGGGCAGGTCCCCTTCTAGCTATGTCTCTTACCGCTGTTCTCTCCCCAGCCTCATGCCATCACTGAGACTGTTTCTTCCAGAGCCTCTGGGCCCTCTCTCCCAGTGGACCCTCCACTTTAATTACTGGGTGAGTGGCCAGTAGTTTGCTCACTCCATGACTGAGCATCTAATCTTCCCAGATGAAGAGCAGAGGCTGCCCGCCCCAGCCTGTTTCTAATATCTAGCCCCCTGCCAGGGACACACCTGCCCCTCCCAGGCCTGGCTCAGAAACCGCCCCAGTCTGAACTCAGAATCTAGCCAGGTATGCCCTGCAGGACAAGATCTAATATAAAAGTAGGAGTGTAAGACACAGCTACTGTCCAGCCAGACCCGCCCCCTCCCCTCCTTTGAGCTCCTAAGAACCTCCCTTTATCTCCAGCAGTTAGGGCCAAACAGGTCCTAGGACCCAGAGGAGCCCGCCTGACGTTTCCGCTCCTGAAGACACGCCCCCTCACCACCCACCGCCACCGCCACCACCCAC